ATCACTTTCCCGTACCTCATTTATAAACCACGTATAAAATCACCATTTGTTTCTTTTATCATAATTTTCACAGTCTGGTCTTAGACGAAGCTTTATCGATAATACTAATCGACAACTTATGTTGCTTCCTAGTTCATCCATTCAAGCGCTGAAAGCATAATAGTCTCAAATATGAAAGCGCTCATTTTATTCAGTACAATATTAACTTGAGTAGTCACCGCTAATTTAGGCGCATGAGTATTGATACTAATTTCTGTTATCATGTATATTTGAGGGAAAGCAAGTTCACTTTAATATACCGATTATCCTTATACTCAGGAGGTAACCTCCACATCATACAAGAGTAGGTGGCTCTATACAGCGACTATAAACACTTTTCCTATCAGCAAAGTGAGCTAAAGAGTGGCATAATCACGTTTTTCATTTTTCAATTTGCATACTTATATGCTTGCATCTATGCATGTATGTAAGTATGTGCGCAGGTATGTATGTATGCATGCGTGTATGTATGTTGGTATGAATATATGTATCTATGCATGCACGCATCTATTTATTTACTTATTTATGTATACTTAGATATGGATGTGTGTGTGAGTCCTGAAGTGAAATGATATGACCTTGATGGTTATATGATCGAATGAAGCGATTTGAGTTGGATCGAGGCCAAATTTACTTGGTGGTATTTGGAGTCAACCTTAAGCCTACTCTTTGCTTCAACATTTGGAAACATGGGTATCAGATTACGGTGTTCATGGAGAACTTAAAAGGATAAAATTTTTCGACATTCTCATGGTGGAGCTTAAGTGTTTTTTTATCTTGATATTATAATTTCTGCCAAAATGATTGGTACAGAGGTAATCCAGGGGTATCCTAGACATTATGTTATAAGCAGCAAATTACAAAATAGAATAGGATATTTGCAATGGGGAAATATCTGAAAATAGCTTGAAGATTACATCATATTTGGCGAATGCTTGCTTGTCTTCACATCACAGGATCGCAGGGCCACACTCGAGAGAAGAGTATTCGGGCGGGCCATACAGAGACTTCTAAGTGGGTAAGAAAAGTAGCAAAAGGTGGACAGTCCGATTGGCAAAACGCATAAACTCTGCTTCTCTACATGATCGGTTTGGATGGCGGGGGTAAAGCGTATAAAGCAGACTGTACAAAACAGGAAATGCAGGCGGAGCGTTGAAATGTGGCAACTTCAAGGGCGGGCGTATGCCAACAATGAAGGGTCTGAAGAGGATATATACAGAAATATACCACATAGAGCTTATAGATTAAAGAGATGTGAGCAAAGACGGAGTTGGAGCGTGATTCCTCTCAAAGGTCATGCTCAAAGCCGGAGATGTGGGCGGTCTCGGGAGGCTGGTGTGACTCGAAGCGAGGGTCAAAGGATGAAAAGGCTCTCTCGGGGCCGCAAGTGGCCGGCGTCTGGGGTTCCGGCTCATACGAGCTGGGACGTCGTGGGACCGGCTGAGTCTGGCAGCCGGAACCACTACACCTCAGCACCGGCCGGGTCGAGTCCCTCGAGTCGTCCCTTTCCGGAAGGCCGGACTCGGAGCTGCCTGACTCCGGCAAGAAACCGGCCAAACCGGTCAGATGCTCGACGTGGTGAGGCGAACTGATGGAGCCTATGGATC